CTATTCTATCCTATTCTATCCTATTCTATCCTATTCTATCCTATTCTATCCTATTCTATCCTATCCTATTCTAAAAGCGGAGGGGGAAAGGATCACATTTACAAAGGTAACATTTTTGGAAAAAATGTCCACGTACCTTCAGCAGGCTTGTCAGATGCTATCCCTTTAAAAACTGCATATTTATCCACAGCAGGTGTCACTTTGGGGCCTGAAAAAGGTATCAGCATTGAAGGAGCACTAAAGAAAAGAAATAATTGGAAAAGGAAGGATATTATCCAGGTAGTCCTTGACTTATAACCGTTCATTTAGGAACTGCCTGAAGTTACAACACTGAAAAAAGGATGAATGACCCTTTTTCACACTTATGACCACTGCAGCATCCCCGCAGTCCTGTGATCCCCTTTTGCAACCTTCTGACAAGCGAAGTCAATGGGGAAGCCAGATTCACTTAACATCTATGTAACCAACTTAACAACGGCAGTGATTCAAGTAACTGTGGCAAGAGAAGTCGTAAAATGCAGCAAAACTCACTTAACAACCATCTCGCTTAGTAACAGACATTTTGGGCTCAATTGTGGTCATAAGTCAAGGACAACCTGTTTTGGGACAGACATGGGATATAATAATCTAGAAAAAAATATGATCAAGATCAGTTCTGGTCATGCAACAATTTTACTCAGAATAAAATATGGGATGTTTCAGACATATATCAGAATGAAGGAAGCCACAAAGAACAAATATGTCCAAAGCCTGCCAATCTTTATGTTAAACATTCTCTGAAAATATTTTGGGAACAACTACTTAGAATATGGAATATCAGTTTGCCACCTACAAACATTCTGTCACAAAATAACAGCCCTTTTCTTAAGTGGTGTATTTTAACTTTTTTAAAGAGTTAAAATAGGGCTGCTGCATCTCAATGCACAAGAAGGTACAGAATTAGTGAATAACAGAATAACAAAGTTGGAAGGGACCTTGGAGGTCTTCTAGTCCAACCCCCTGCTCAAGCAGGAAACTCTACCTGTACCATTCCAGACTAGTGACTGTCTAATCTCTTCTTTAAAAACTTCCAGTTTTGGATTAATGGTGGAACACAGGTAGCCCTCAATTTATGACCACAACTGAGACCAAGATTTCTGTTGTTAAGCGAGGTATTTGCTTAAGTGAGTTTTGCCCCATTTCGTGACCTTTGTTGTCACAATTGTTAAGTGAATCTACAGTTAAATTAGTAACAAAATTGTTAAGTGAGTCTGGCTTTCCCATGGAATTTGCCTCTCAGAAGGTTGCAAAAGGGGATCACCTCACCCTGAGATACTGCAACCATCATAAATGAGTCAGTTGCCAAGCGTTTGAATTCAGGACAAGTGACCAGGGAGATGTCAGCCCTGGAAGCCATCTTTTACATTGGGCCTTCAGGCCTGCCACATTTCCTACTGTGGAAAAATGGGAGGGGGGATTATATAGAGTGTGGGTGAGATATAGTCAAAATAACATTCCTTTCTCAGAGAGTCAAGGACGTCTTGCCCTGCACCTAGAGGGGTGTGACCGGAAGGCATCTCAAGTTGGGACGGTGCCTGATTGGGCCATGTGAGGGACATGTGGGTGCTGGGCAGGGGCTTGGACTTTCAATTGGGTGGGGAAAACCTGGAAGCTTTCAGATTCAGGTTTTCCCAGATGTGCCAATGTGACATCTCTCATAAAATGGAACTTTGAGTCTTCTTTTGTTGGGGGTGTTACTTGAAACCCTAAACATGAAAAACTTTTCTAGTGCTGTTGTAATGTCGAACGGTCACTAAATGAACTGTTGTAAGCCGAGGACATCCTGTATTTGGATCAGCAGCGAATCCAACAAAGAAAGAAATCCAGTTGCCATGACTCCACTGGGAAGACATTTATGGAAATGTGACTCAGTTTTTGTGCAGCCTCTCTAAACTTGCTATTTTATCACGGATCAACCTGTTCAGCGTTGATCAAGCCTGCATGGAGCGCTCCCAAAGAAAATGGCTTTTTAAAACAATTAATCTTGCTAAGCAATTATATACATCCTGAGGAAATGACTGATTAAAACCAGTTCCCAATGAAACACCTTCTTCCCCAATTCTGACATTTGGTTTAGGCTTCCATTCAGATCAGGGGTGTCAAACTTGATTTCACTGAGGGTTGTTTCTCACCTTGGGCAGCTGGAGTGGGTGTGGCCAGGGTGGGCATGGCCAGATCTATGTCCCTCATGTCGGGGGGGGGGGGCTTGTGGTGGCCTCAGTGCTCTGCCAGTGAAAGCCAAGCTTGGGAGAGCCAGCTGCGGCCCTCCTGAGCTCCGTTTTCTCTGGTAGGGGACTGGAGGCCATCACAGTCGAAAACAGAGGTTGGGAGGGCCACGCACGGCTTTCCCGAGCTCCGTTTTCGCTGGCAGAGTCACCATGGGCCAATCCTTCTGTCAGGGTTTCAAGCAGCACCCCCAACGAAAGAAGACTCCGAGGCTTGTGGTTCCTCAAAGTTCCATTTTATGAGAGGTGTCATATTGGCACATCTGGGAAAACCCGAATCCGAAAGCTTCCAGGTTTTCCCCACCTAAATAAAAGTCCAAGGCCCTGCCCAGCACACACATGTCTGTCACATGGCCCAATCAGGCACCATCCCAATTGGAGATGCCTCCCAGTCACACCACTCCAGGTGCAGCGCAAAATGTCCTTGACTCTCTGAGAAAGGAATGTTATTTTGACTGTATCTACCCCACTCCATACAATCCCCCCGCTCCCAGTTTCCCACAGCAATAAATGTGGCAGGCCGGGAGGCCTACTGCAAAAGATGGCTTCCAGGCCTGACACTTTCACTGTTTTCAGGGCAACCCTGTTAGGAATATAATCTAATGGTTGGGGTGGCAGTATATAAACCATGTAACAATGTTATACCTGTTTCTTTAAATCATACTG